ACATTTTTGTGCCGGGCCAAAGATCGCAATCTAATAAATTATCATTTGCACTGCAATCGTCAGTGTCCCTCAGCCTTCAATCAAGTTTTGGGGGCCTTTGATCAGCTGCCGTTGCCATCGATCCAGAATTCCCTGTCCCAGGATCTACACTGAAAGAAATAATGGCAAATAAAGCCGGTTATTTCAATCTTCTTGGGTGTTAAGGGATTATGCATTTGTAAAAGTATAAATAATGAGTATTTTCAAAGAAAGTTGGAATTGATTTTATAAATAAATAATAAAGATATACTTTATATATATACTAATATTTCTCTCTGTGTTACTGCTTTGATCTCCTCTTTTTTGGCTGATCAAAATTCTGGCCAGGTCGACTGAGTGACAGACGTTTACTTAGTTGTTATCATTCTGGTCGTGTTGATGTTTTATTGGCCTTTTTCCAACCTTCTTCATCTCACCGGGCTCCTTCGCTTAGTTGGACATTATTTTTGGGGACCTGGGTCCGCACATTCCACAGATCTGGAGTCTGGGCCTCCGAAAACGCAATACGTCACTTCGAATTTGATGATCCCTTGATGGATTTCATCGGCTGCCTCGAAACGCCGTTAGCAACGGCATACTTCGGGCTAAGCTAAGGGGCACATATGTACATATCTGCGAAAATATGTGTGGCATCCGAACTCTAATGACAGCCTTGGATCTGCCCTATTTGCTTCTAATTGGCCCTGGCTCTGATGCCCTTTTAGTTCGGCCTAAACGCATTATGTTTTATTATTGAAGCAGTCAACAAATGCCCGCATATATTGTTAGCACATTGCTGCTTGGCTAACTCTGCCCCTCGCTGTAATTGCAACACTTTCCACTTCCGTTTCGGAAAACACTGTTTTTTTTTTCAGCGCCAACGTGTCAGGTAATTGAAAGTGGTCAGTCTAGCGGATAGACAGCCCGATATTCAAATGAGCGACACTTTCGATTTCATTTTCATCTGATTCCGGGCGAGTTGCTCACCCGATCATGGGAATTTGCCTGTTAATTGGATCCGCCACCGACTGACTGGCCCTGGAGCTGTGTCATCTCAATTAAATTGCTCGAACAATCAATCAGCTTTTTATTGTTCGGAGCTGCGCAAAAAGTCAGATCATAACTCAACACTTCGCACAGTCCTTTTATAAGCATTTTCCCATGTCAATCTGCCACAATCGGCGAATGTATAAGTAAAAGTTTTTTTGTCAGCCAACTGCAACCTGCCTCCGTGTGTGAGTTTGCCTCATATTAAGCTATGAATTTTCATGTTATTGCAACTAATTTTCATTTAATGCGTTTTGTCGTGCTCTCGAAGTCAGGGGCTTAGAGGAGAGGGGGTCTAACTAACATAAAGAGGTTATAAGTGAACCAAAAACTACATTCTTAGAAAAGGATATATTTCTTTCCAATTATAGATGAATAAAGAAGGTATTTCCTTAAGATTGTGCTTTTCTTTTCAAACTTAGAATTTACAAATTTGATAATATTTAATTCTTTAAAAAATATAAAATCCCTCTTAGCCCCCTTCCTTGTCTCCCCATTCAAGTCGCACAATTTTAATTGTGGCCCATAAACTACGGTATCGCATATGCGTATCGTATCTAATGCCCCGCTAAAAACGGGTTTGCAGAGGAAACCGCTCAGACGTGGACATTAGATTTGCCCGACTCCAGTTCCAGGCCAGCCAGGCTCCAGCCATAGTGCTTGCTCTATAACTCCACAGATTCACACAGTCGTGGAGATCGACAATGTCCGCTGGCCAACGAAAGTGGTTGCACCCGATTTGAGCAGCACTTGTCCGCCGTCTGTCACTTAAGGCAGCATCAACGGTCTCAGCGGTATTACACTCGGAAAAACTCAGAAAAACAGTAACTTACAACTATTTTGTTGGTAAATTCTCTCTCAGCTGATTTCTTTGTGTGCAGCAACATTTGCAGCAGCAGCAGCAGTACCTAAAGCAGCAACAGCAGCAGCCATTCAGTCAAACGCTCATTCATGCATGTCGGGACCGAAGTCGAAGTCCAACGGGGCATAATTCAATTTCCGCTGCCCAACTGGTCCGGACTCCCCCCTCACTCAACTCGGCTTCAGTGTATCAGTTGTGACGATGTCACAATCCCCTATTTTTGTAAATTATGTACATATTAGTTAAGTTTATAGTTAAGTTAGTAATTAGTATAGGGAAATAAGTTAGGATTAGCCACACACCCACACACACAACTGTACATTTAAGCGGGCATGAAGCCCAGAGTTAATTTACCCAGGAAGGGCCCAATTAGATTTAGATTAAGGCCACAACGCACAGGCGTATACATTTTTTCAACACGGACTGTAGCGACCGCGCTCGAGACATTTCCCCTCTCCGCTGCCGACGCGAACAGCGGCAGAGGCAGCGACATTTCCCCTCCGACGATCGTGCGTGTTTACGTTTTGGTCGTGCTTATTTACATGCCGATCAAAATATAAACAATAACAATAACAAAGCCGACGGCCGAAAGCTGCGCTGCCCGGACAATTTTGGCAGAGACGAGGTGACAAGGGCTTTGCAAGCTGCGACCGCGATCTCTTCTCTGGCAGCTTCGAACGCGATCGTTACACATCTCTCCCGCCGCGGGCGGCAAGTCCTCAAAGGACACGTGGTTTTCCCCAAACGACTAAGTCCCAAAAGGGACACGCGAGTGCCCTTGCATATCCTGGCTGCAGGACACGTGTCCCAATCCACCGATAACAGCGGGTGAGCCGGCTGCGAGCCATGTCAGAGTAGCGTTTACTGGAGTGTGGCGTAGGGCCAGGTTAGGGACGGCAGTCATAGTTTAGGAAAATGTAGACAATAATTAATTAATGTAATAGAGCACAGAAAATGAATTCAGAAATTTCATCGTCTTTCTCCCTCGCACCCACTTAAAACTCCGCGTTGTTAAAACTAATTTCTTATCGTGACGCGCGCCAAAGGGTTCCCCTCCCGCTCACTCACTCGCCGAGCTGGTGGCTGGGTTCTCCCGCACCAACTCCGCGTGGTCGCTGGGCAAGCTCCGGGCCAGAGCAGCGGGACGGGAGCGGGATTTGTCGCCGCTGGGTTCTCCCGGGCACAGATCTGGCGTGGGCATCGGGGCTGCTGGGTTTTCCCGAGCTACGAGTTCATCGCCGCCGGCACGTGTTTTGCAAGTTTCTCCTTTTCCCCTCTCCTTTCCCTTCCGATCTGCATCTTGCCCGCCATCGCCGCTGGGTTATCCCGGGCGGCGGAGATTTTGCCGATCGGAAGAGTCGCCGCTGCTGGGCAACCGGGCAGGCGCCGGAAACGGAGAAGCACCTGGCCATCGCCAGGGTGATCGCGCGTTTTAGGTTTTCCCTTCCCCTCTCCCTTTCCCTTTCGATCTGCATTTTGCCCGCCATCGCCGCTGGGTCATCCCGGGCGGCGGAGATTTTGCCGATCGAAAGAGTCGCCGCTGCTGGGCAACCGAACGGGCGCAGGAAAACGGAGGAGCACCTGGCCATCGCCAGGGTGACCGTCCAAGATTCCCATTTTCCCGAAGCCAGGGTTCCCCTTTTGAAAACGAGCCCCTTTTCGCTGCCATTTTGCCCCTAGAAAAATTCATTAAAAATTCGGCGTCCATGTCCTGGCCGTCTCTAAAATATAAATATTTCTGGAGAGGAATCCTGGGCCGCTGAGGTTTACCCCGGCCCAAGACACATCCTTACAGATGGCGCCCGAGCAGGGACCGGTCAGGACAGCTAGGATAAATTTTTTCAGTGGATTAAAGCCCCACTGGCCGAAAACCAGAATTTTCTAGTAGAAAAAAAATATAATATAAATTTTTCGCGAAGGCAAAAGCAGGGAAATTTAGTTTTCTAAAGGACGAGGATAGAAAATTTAATCAGGAAATATATTACATAAACATATTTCTCGATCAGCGCACATTTGTTTTGCGAGTGTAAGAAATTTTCGTCCCACGTGTCGCGACATACGGTCGCCGGCAAAAATCAGCAAAGTACAGGAGAAAAGGGAATAGAAAAAAAAAACGCGTGGTAAATTTCCATCGGTGCATACGCATCGTCGCCAAAAACAAGCGGTACAGTCACGCCAGAATTCGTAGGCAACGTCACTGCCAGCGTCAACGCCGGCAGAGGGACGCTTCGCGCAAGCACACACACACGTGGCCCACACACATCTCCAGTTCTGCTCTGCCCGCGGCAGCAGCGTCGGCTAGCTTAGGCAGCAATATATACAGGGGACCCTCGCTAGGAGGGACACTCCGCAAGATCATCTCATTACATACACATCGCTCGTAGACACTTCGGAAGATAAGCTCATAGAATACGCATCGCAGAACCACCTCGTTGAACACACATCGCTCGCAGTTTATACCCTTTGAAAACAACTCATCACACTCATCGTCGTATCCTTTCACACATCGGGAAGATTTTCAAAATCGTTCAACCACGTCAAGGACGCCCACGAATCCTCAAAGAATCCTGCGAGATCCTGCCGCCGAGAACATAATAACAAATTTCATAAAAAAAAATAATTAATGCAAATAAATAAACGGAAACAATAAAAATTAAAATGAATCAATAAAAATTAAGATAAATCGAAATAAAATGAATAAAATGGGAAAAAAAAAAAAAAAAAAAAAATCAAATTTAAATAATTCCAAGTAAAATAATCAAATAAAATAAATACAAATATAGGGCAGACCCTCCGACTGCGACCGAACGACCAGCGAAGACCAACAACAGAGCCACGCTCTGACCAGCGAAGACCAACAACAGAGCCACGCTCTGACCAGCGAAGACCAACAACAGAGCCACGCTCTGACCAGCGAAGACCAACAACAGAGCCACGCTCTGACCAGCGAAGACCAAAGACAGAGCCACGCTCTGACCAGCGAAGGGAGCCACGCTCCAACCCACGGGACCTGCCCGCAGAGCCACGCTCTGACCAGCGAAGGGAGCCACGCTCCAACCACGAAGAGCCACCAATGGCACACCACTCAGAGCCACGCTCTGAGCCACGAAGCACATCGACGGAGCCACGCTCCACATCCGAAGAGCCACCAATGGCACACCACGCAGAGTCACACTCTGATCAGCGAAGGACGACAACGGAGTCACACTCCACTCACGCCGAGAAACCACAGACGCCAGCCCAAGGAGAGCCACGCTCTACCCATCGAAGGCAGCCAAGGGAGCCATGCTCCGAACTCGACGACCAGCCAAGTACCTCACCACGAGCACAGTTTCGAGGCACAACTTCACCAGCGACGGAGAACCAGCCGCCCTGTTGGAGGCAGGCTTTGCCCGTGGCAGATGCCACAGCCGCGCAACGGAACCCTTTCCGTGCCTCCACAAAACGTGTCCGCTTCCAGGATCACGTCGAGGAAACGCCGGAGCCAAGCCCGCCCCTAGGCAGAACCGTCAATTCGGTGAGTCATCCCACAGAGTATCAAGTCTCATTCCAGATAGAGGAATCCGAGACGCCGGATTACCCCGAGCCTTGGGTGAAGGAGTTCCTGGACCAGGAACTGGCCAAATTTGATACTCTCTCAGGGGTATCACACATCGCAGAGCATCGCAGCTTCATGCGCACCGATCGACCCCTCAAACAGCGACAACCGCCTTCAGCCCGCCTACCACAAGGCACGACGAGCCACGCGCTGCACAGATTCCGCCCCCACCGAGGCCAACCAGACGATGGACGGACAAGGCCATCCGCCGACTCCCGCCCCGGCGCCACAGGACACCGCATGGATGTACGGTGCGGGCGACGAGCTCCTACAGGCGCTCCACGGCGCCGGCCAAGCCAGCCGCTTCCCAGCGACAGCCTCGCCGACCCCTTCCGGCCACGGGCTCTACCCATCGAGGGCACCACCATCGACGACGACAACGTGGAGGAGGCGAACACCGGCAACCACGCCGGGCCCCGTCGGCCCTCTACCGAGGGGATGCCACCATTGGCGTCCCAGCACACCAGCCCCATCGGGCCATCACTGCTCCCTCTGGAAGTCGCCCACCACCGTGGCGATGAGGAGGAGGGAGTGAATCCGGATGAACACGCTAGACTACGGCCATCATCCGCAAGGGGAATGCCGCCCCTAGTGTCCAGGCACATCGGCCCCATTGGGTCACAACAACCCCCTCTGGAAGTCGCCCACCACCGTGGCGATGACGAGGAGGAGGTCCACCCGGACGACGCCATACCGCGTCCAGCACCCTCAAGGGGCATGCCGCTCCAGGCACCCCTGCGCACCGCCCACATCGGGCCGCAGGCACCCCTCCGGAAGTTGCCCCTCCTAACGGCAATGATGAGGAGGAGGTGCCACCTGACCACCGCTTCGGACCCCTGCGGGTCAACCTCACGCCGCCCCAACGACGCGAGGCTCCATCCGGAGTCCACGCACCGGAGCGCCGGAGCGCACCATGGGCAGACAGCCCGCCAAGCTCATCCGACGAATCGTCGTTGGACGCCAGCGAAGAAGTCCTCAACCCTCCCCGCTGGGTACCGGCCCCAGTGGAGTGGACCACGCCCAACGGCACATTGCCAGCCGCCTTGCTCCGCCGGATTCACGGGCGCCTGGCGACGCCAAGACGACGGACAATCCGGATTCTGGAGGAGGAGGCGAATCAACGCTTCCGCGTCCAGATTAACCGCAGCGGGAAGGTGATCATCACTCTCCACCCCTCCCGAAGATAGGGTGGAGTGTGACGATGTCACAATCCCCTATTTTTGTAAATTATGTACATATTAGTTAAGTTTATAGTTAAGTTAGTAATTAGTATAGGGAAATAAGTTAGGATTAGCCACACACCCACACACACAACTGTACATTTAAGCGGGCATGAAGCCCAGAGTTAATTTACCCAGGAAGGGCCCAATTAGATTTAGATTAAGGCCACAACGCACAGGCGTATACATTTTTTTCAACACGGACTGTAGCGACCGCGCTCGAGACATTTCCCCTCTCCGCTGCCGACGCGAACAGCGGCAGAGGCAGCGACATTTCCCCTCCGACGATCGTGCGTGTTTACGTTTTGGTCGTGCTTATTTACATGCCGATCAAAATATAAACAATAACAATAACAAAGCCGACGGCCGAAAGCTGCGCTGCCCGGACAATTTTGGCAGAGACGAGGTGACAAGGGCTTTGCAAGCTGCGACCGCGATCTCTTCTCTGGCAGCTTCGAACGCGATCGTTACACATCTCTCCCGCCGCGGGCGGCAAGTCCTCAAAGGACACGTGGTTTTCCCCAAACGACTAAGTCCCAAAAGGGACACGCGAGTGCCCTTGCATATCCTGGCTGCAGGACACGTGTCCCAATCCACCGATAACAGCGGGTGAGCCGGCTGCGAGCCATGTCAGAGTAGCGTTTACTGGAGTGTGGCGTAGGGCCAGGTTAGGGACGGCAGTCATAGTTTAGGAAAATGTAGACAATAATTAATTAATGTAATAGAGCACAGAAAATGAATTCAGAAATTTCATCGTCTTTCTCCCTCGCACCCACTTAAAACTCCGCGTTGTTAAAACTAATTTCTTATCGTGACGCGCGCCAAAGGGTTCCCCTCCCGCTCACTCACTCGCCGAGCTGGTGGCTGGGTTCTCCCGCACCAACTCCGCGTGGTCGCTGGGCAAGCTCCGGGCCAGAGCAGCGGGACGGGAGCGGGATTTGTCGCCGCTGGGTTCTCCCGGGCACAGATCTGGCGTGGGCATCGGGGCTGCTGGGTTTTCCCGAGCTACGAGTTCATCGCCGCCGGCACGTGTTTTGCAAGTTTCTCCTTTTCCCCTCTCCTTTCCCTTCCGATCTGCATCTTGCCCGCCATCGCCGCTGGGTTATCCCGGGCGGCGGAGATTTTGCCGATCGGAAGAGTCGCCGCTGCTGGGCAACCGGGCAGGCGCCGGAAACGGAGAAGCACCTGGCCATCGCCAGGGTGATCGCGCGTTTTAGGTTTTCCCTTCCCCTCTCCCTTTCCCTTTCGATCTGCATTTTGCCCGCCATCGCCGCTGGGTCATCCCGGGCGGCGGAGATTTTGCCGATCGAAAGAGTCGCCGCTGCTGGGCAACCGAACGGGCGCAGGAAAACGGAGGAGCACCTGGCCATCGCCAGGGTGACCGTCCAAGATTCCCATTTTCCCGAAGCCAGGGTTCCCCTTTTGAAAACGAGCCCCTTTTCGCTGCCATTTTGCCCCTAGAAAAATTCATTAAAAATTCGGCGTCCATGTCCTGGCCGTCTCTAAAATATAAATATTTCTGGAGAGGAATCCTGGGCCGCTGAGGTTTACCCCGGCCCAAGACACATCCTTACACAGTTACCGAATTGACACTTTGATTTAGTGCTTACATGCAGCGTTTGCCATTTGCTCGCTTATTGATTTATATTTAAAGCCACTGATATATCTATTTGGAGCTCAACTTAGTTGCCGCTCGATGGAGCTGCCTTCTTGGCTGGAAATAAGTTTGTCAACTTATGTCAGCCAGCCTGAAAGCCTTCAATCGAAGGGGGAATATTGTTAGATGATGGAACATCTGCTCTTCGGTAATTCAATCCAATTAATCAAGGTTTTATGAGCTGTTATCCCATTTATATCTTTAGTTTAGCTTATTTCCCATAGTTTCGTGTTATTTGAGGTGTACCCATTGAACGCAAATTGAATTCCTGCTCGTAATGGTTTCATCAATGCCACTTTAATTACCCAGAATTACCTAGTGCGAAAGATCGATGTTTGCAGCAGTTGTGGCACGCTGCCCACTGATTATGCCACACTTTACAGAGCAACACCTCCGTGCCACTATGATTGCCTCTATGCCTATGATTATTGCCTGCGTGTGTGTCTAACAGCGCCGCAGCAACGCCAGTGATTCCCGGCTGCCTCATCTCGCACCATCGCGTGCATGGGTGTCAGCTCGTGCTCGTGCTCGGGGTAATGATGATGATGGCTTTCTGATGCTAATGATAGACACTAGACCCAGGCACTATGCCTAGTTCTATGTAGGCCCCTTCGCCCGTAATCCAACTCGGAAGTCGCCCAATTGCCCCGGCTGAAAGTGAAATTCGTGAGGGGAAATGGCGATAATCGGGCAATCAATTAAGGTTAATTGCTATTTAATGCAAACGCTCTCGAATGGCGAATCTGCATGAGAAACACAATACTGAAATATGCTGAAAAAATCGCTGCAAAATTATGCAAAATCGGAGAACAGTTAGTTTTCCAAAGCCGCGACGATCGGCTCGCTGTGGTAATTTGGGGCCTTCGTGTCCCAGGCCAATTTCGATTATCGCTAACCAAATTGCAGTAGCCGCCGATCGTCAGACAAAAAAATTTTGATATTCTAATTTCTCCTTTGCCGCCGCATTATGATTTATAATTTGAAATTATTGGAGCTACTGGCTTTTGCCTGCGGCGGTATCACATGCAAATTTTTATCCTTTTTTATGTTTTTTTTATGTTTTGTGGCCAGCAATTTGGCGCTTCTAACGGTAATGCGTTTTGGGCCAAGTTCACTGAGTCGTCGACTCATTGGTAGCTGCCAATGTGTGTTTATCTGTCTGGCCAATTTGCATATATGCGATATGGCAAATATATAAAGCACAAATTGGCCAGGCGGGACACGGAATCGCGGGCACATTTCAAGGTTAATCGTTAACCGGAGGAAGTCTGGAATAAGGATATTATAATTACATTTGGAAAGAGATTTCAACAGTTTCTATCTGGCTAAAATTTGACTGAATTATAAGTAAAAAATATATGTTTTAGGTAAATGATAAGTAAGGTCAAAGTAATTAAATAATGTTCATAATTATATTTTTAGGAAATATCTAAATAAAATGAAGGAAGTCTGAAATAAGGATAACACTACCATAAAATAGAGTTCTTCTGTGTAAAAGTTCTTCTTCTGTAAAAGTAAGATAAATACGAATTAAACTAGGTAAATATAGAACCCCATTTAATGACATGCCTCATCCATTAAAAAAATTTAACCACCCTTAATGCGAACCCCTGTGCAAGCCCTGTGACAATGACTTTCCTAAAAGGAAGCCCTTTAAAGTGGCCATAATTTGATGAGTAATTAATGTCAGAATTTGCAGAGTGCGACCTTATCGAGACGTCCCCTTATCAACTCGCTCCAGATCTCGGATGATGATACTCGTGCCGCCGCCTAAGTGAAAGCAGCTGTCAGGATGGCAATTAAACTGTCATCAGTTGCACAAAATTTGAGGCATTTGTGTGAATTTTCGAAAATTTGGAAATTTGATTTTAATTGGCCAAAAGGCGTGGGGGGGGGGCAGCTGTCACTGAAATTCGTATTCTGAAACCCTCTCAAATCGCACCTCAATCCCCAAACCGCTAAAACCAATTTCCTCATTGGCGGTTGCGCCATTTTGCCAGTTTGCATTTTGCCACTTAACGCATCATCACTTTGGCTAATTTGTTGCCATTCGTCGTTGGCCCCGCTGCGAACTGATTGCCGCATCGATCTGCAGCTGACCTTGGCGGCTAATGACGTGGCAGCCTCAGCCCCGTCCCGCTGGAGCTGTAAATTTGCAATACAAATGCAGGGCCAGCGGTAAACGCTCGCCGATTGCAATCAGCGGCGCCGCATCTGCATCTGCATCTGGCGGGGCAGCTTGCATCATTACCGATGACTCGCATCGGAGTTCGAGTTGCAGCATCCTGCACTTGCCGCGTTTTACGCGCTTCAATGGGTCCGAGTCTGACTCGGACTCGGCGGGGTCTGGTTCTCTGTGGTCTTGTGGATTAAACGTATGCAACTCTCAACCTTCGTTTAAGTCTGCTCTGATTGACAACATCAATTGCCGCAACGATCCAGCAAATCGTTGCTAGATCAATGCTCGCAGGCAGATACAGATACAGATACATTTAGGTAAATGAAGATACAGATGCAGCACAACGGTTTCTGCTGCAGCGGCTGTCATGATTGTAACTAAATTTGTTTTGCGGTTCGACAAGTGTTTATATGTTTGTTTATTTATCGACCCTGTGCTTATGGTGCACATAGAGAAATAAAGGCGGATAATGCAATTCATTGATAACTTTGGGGGGCCTTAACCTTCTCAGGTTCTTAGTTATTACCAGAAATATTCATAATTTTCATGTTTATTTTGCTAAAATATAAATCATTTATTTATTCGTTTAAAATCCATCAAATACAGCCCATATTTATTACTGCCACCGTGTGAATCCTGCCTTAAGCCATAATTCTGAACGGATTGAAGGCTTTCCATTAGCATCTTGCCATGGCAATCAACATGCAATTTTAGCACGTTAAGCACACCTAATTACCAGAACCACCCAGAAGCGGCTACTGTGGGTGCCTAACACAAATCATCGACTTTAATGCGACAGCCCATATTGTGTATTGTGGTATTCTTGTACTCCGGCTGGGCTGCAGCTCCGAAATTGACATGACAACGGCAATACTTCAATGGGGAAGCGGTGGCCCGATGCCGGGGTCTTCGGGGTCTGACCAGGAGCCAGACATACTCGTATTTTTGGTGTTAAAATGGATATAGCTGCATTTTATTATGATTATTATGATTTTCGTCAGGCGGCGGGCACCGCGAACAAAAAGTACAAATCATTGACGAGTGAGCGGCACTAAACTCATCAGCAGAGGAAGCGATGGAAGGGGCACCTGTCGGAGTTGGC